AGCCTGGCAGCTTGCTGAGAAACAGACTTTTCTGCAAGAATAAAATCATCTTATTATAAGACAATCCACCCATTCACCTGCCTGCACTCAGGCAGGTCCAGAGACCTCACCTGCACAGAATTAGTTGAGAGTTCAGCTAGAATGAGCTTCTTGCCTCCCTCTGAAGCTCTCTGCGATGTAAACTCACTGTATGATCCAACTGTTAAGCATCTGTGCTCACCAACAGCTCCTGCAATCATAATTTGCTCTCTAGAAACCAAGACAGAAAAAGGGATGGGAAAAGGCTGACGACACCAGCTGTCTCCAGGCTTCCCAGGGAGTGAGCAGCACAGCTCCCTGCAGCAGGCACTGCAGTCGGATGTGTGTCATTGGAAAATGAGGGACTTGAACGTCTCCTCACCAGGAGGGAGGAAACTTGTGCATAATTAAAGATTTTCATAAGGAAAATATTAAAGGAACTGTGAACTCTGCGGAGTTAGAAGGATGCAGTGATGTCCTGCCTGTCCTTCCCATGAAGGTCACACTACTCTGGAGCTCTTCTTACAGAGCACAGAAATTTCACTACATAGAACCAAAGGAAAGCAAAGACTTTCCAAACTGTAGGGTCTTTAAAAATGACTGTTGTGTTTTGAAAACAATTAGCGTCAATTCACACGCAGAAATTCACTCGCAGCTCTCAGGTACAAACACTCAGAAAATGTGTGGGAGTATTTCCTTAGAAATAAATTCCTGAGTCAACTACTGTACTTCAACTAACACATTAATAAAGCCATCAATAAACTCTTCAAAAGTCATCCTCCAAGTGACAGTTTTCCACTGTATGAAGAGGCAAAACCAGCAACACTTTGTGGCTTAGCAGCTCTCCCAGTGAACATCTCTGTCCTCTTTGGTGAGAGCCTTTCAACCACCACCTGATCCTGCCATCCATGCACTTGGGATGTGCAATCCTGTAAAAACTTTATCCAGCGATGTTAAAGGAATTGCAGCCTAAGGAAAAGGAAGATGTTCAAGGCACAAGGCAATTTGTGAATTTCAGAAGTATCTAATACATGTTTTTGCAGAAAACCTATGAAATCCTAGAAAAGGGGATAAAATAAAAGGCAGAGCTGTTCTCCTGGCAGGTCTGTGGAAGAAATTCTTCTTGGCTCAGTTCTGAAGAAAGTTATTATTTATAGAAGTCCATCCTTCAGTTTACGTTGGAGAACTCTATTTCCAAGTGAATGTGACTTGGTGAGGAAAACATATATATGAACGTGTCATACAAGGAATGACAGACTGACATCCTGAACAACCCAAACAGGATGAGAAAAAGAAAACCTCATGTGTTTGATGCTAAACAGACAATCCAAATTAATAAACAGAAACTGGTGGTGCTCATCAGGCTTTGTGCTTGACTGACAGCACCCTGAGAAACCTCCACTTTGTCTGCATTCCTCTGCAAACCCTATGTGCTCATCCTTTCTTGGATGAAGCAGCCACACTTCATGGCAGGCATTAACAATCTCTTACTATTTCCATGATGTTAGGTTATCATTAGTAAGATTACTCCAGACACTCCTTTTTATTTTAATCTGTAGTGTGAGTGAATTCAAAGACACTCAATAGCACCTCACCAGCAGCTGGGAAAGAATCAACTGATTCCCAGAGCATTGTCTTACCCTTTTGATTTAAAAAAATCCTGTGTCTTTTTCAGACCTCATTGATCTGTGTTTAAATACAATCTACTTAAATATTTGAGGCACTTTAGTACACCTGCCTGTACTGATAAGAACAGGTTTCCCACTGAAAGAAGCAGCACTGCTGTGTGGAAATGAGCTGTGAGTTGTTTCAGAAAGCAAAGTTTCAGTGATTGCAACGTGTTCCTTTGTCATGGAACAGGAATTAAGTAATCCTGTATAATACAGCAAATAGGAAGAGTATTTTTAATCTGTGAAGTGTACTGCCCCAAATAATCATTCAATTCAAAGGGTGAGGCAATGGTTACTTGCAAGATTCCACTTCCAGAATGTTGCCCAAATGCAATGCTGCTTGTAAGCAAGACCAAAAGAGTATCTTGCACAATTTCAGGAGGGAGACTGAGCTTTGAAGATGGATTCCCCTAAATCAGCTTTTGCATTGCCAGAAGGTCTGTGCTGCAGTATAGAGGCATTTGCAAACAGTCCCCAAATGATCCCACAGTGAAGGCTTTCAGACTTAGCAAGCAGCATCTTAAAATAACTGATTAGATCAGAAAAGTGAAGGAGCCTCAAAAGAACAAAGAGTTCTAGGTAACTTTCTTTCCTCTTAATTACTCATGAAAGAACATTCAACACCCATTTCCTCAGCAAATGAGGACCTTTTCATCTCAGCTATGAACAATGTGGATAGGATGCTTCTAAATAAATGAGGTTAAAAAAAAAAAAAGAGCCCTGGACCATGAAGTCTGTTTTAAAGAATGAAACCTGACACAACTAAATCAAAGACAACTCCAAGCTGAAATTTAAACACATCCCAAACACTTGTTACACAGTGCAGACACTTGCCATTATCCACTTGCACACAAGAAAATTCAATTGTTCTTCATGCTTACAAGTCAAGTTTGCAACACCCTTAGACTGGTGCTGAGTTGTAGCAGGAGAGGGAAGAACCTGGGGTACCAAAACCCAACCGAAGCAGGACCTCACAGCTTGGCATCTCGGGAGATGGAGCAATTTGCAGGAAAGTTACTTCCAGCTGCAGGATATGGGAAATACTCCTGTGAGACCAGAAGACCCTGCAGGGACCCAGGCAGGGATGGTTTGGGGGAGCAGGAGTTCAGTCCACACTGAAAGAGCAGCAGCCTCACCTGACTGACCAACTGATTTCCCCCAAACCACATGTTTACCACAGGAGCACACGAGGCTGTCTGCTGACAACGGCGCCAAGGTTAACCGAAACTCAACATTTGCATCTCATATCCTTTGAAATCATAACAAAAAATGCCCCAAAGACAAGACAATTTGACCTAAAACACACACAGGGCTTGCAGAGACAATCCCTGCTAAATCCACACACACCAATTTCAGGCCCCTTTCCAGCAGGGCAGAAAGGAGAATTTCAGTTCCGTTCCCCTCTCCAAAGGGTCAATATGGGGAACCCATGAGCAGCTCAGTCTGCACACACAACCCCCTTGCTCCTCATGGATACTTCCATGTGGCACACACTGCTCTTGGACCAGCAGCCTGTCTGGCTGCCCCTGCCAACACCAGCAGCCTCTGTGCCTGTTCCTTTTGGACAGCAGGAACTGACGCCACTCATTTTTTCCTTTTGTTTTACCAGCACTAGTGGAATATTCAAACTCTTCCCCCAACCATCAACACTCAGCCTCCCCTTTCCCACCATTAGAACCACCTCTTTTATTGGAAACTGCATTTAAGACAAGATTTGGAACAAATAATTTGATTGTGCAGCTGACGTGCTGTCTCAGCACTGTGCTCACTCAACCCCCGGAGCCATCTTGCTCTCATCTGCAAACAGCCACTGAATTTAATTCTTTAACAATTAGGAATTAAATAATCTAAGCTTTATTCAGCTTCCAGTAACACAAGTTCTTCCATTTTGCACTGTTTGCAGTAAAGACATCCAATCCATAACTAGTTTGCTAAGAGGATCAGAGCTGCAGTTCAGTTTCTGCAGTGACTCCAACACATCTGGTTCACTCCAGGTACCTGTCCAAGTCCAATCCCCTCAGACAGCACGAGTGATTGAGTTGATTTTACAGGATGCCATGAGAAATGAAAAATAGTTGCATGTGAACAGCACATCAGGCAATCCAGACTGAGTCTCCACTCAAAACAAGCCCAAAATACATGCATTATAAAAACAAGATTCATCATAAATCACTGTTATCTTCAATTATCTTGCATTTTTCTAACTGACGTTGTTTTGATTTTATCAGCAGCTAATTAGAATAATTACACGCAAGCTTGCTGCAGCAGATAACTGTAAAACATAATAAATCTCAAGACATTTGTAGAGTTACCCATTCAATGAAAACCACATTGAAACTCCAGTACGTAAACAACTTACACCTCCTTTTCAGCCCATAAAGACTCTTAAGACTTTCAGTACTCTTTGTATTGCTTTCTTCATCCAAATTTGGCAACATAAAGGTCTGTAATCTCACACACCCTTCTCCTGGCTGAGTTGGATGCAACGAAACACAGGCTAACTCCCAGCAGACCAAGTGCTTGAGGTCAGTTTGAGAGAGTTTAATACAACAGTTCCTTAAAGTCCTTAGGAAAATCCACCCAACTCCTGGATCAGTAGCATTCCTGGATCTATTAATTGCCACTGATTAATGAATCAAGTAGAACAGTTATCTTGAGACAGAAAAATAGCCTCTAAAAGTTTGAAAGAAGTCAAGAAAACATTTTTCTCCCTGGCTAACACTTTTAAACGCAGCCACTCAGCTCAGAGCACACGTAGGCACACACCAAAAAACACTTTATCCTTAGTGGTACCTCAGAAAAGCACAGTATTCTTAAGAGTTACCAAACACTTATCCTGCCATTACCAGCAACAAGCTGCAGTGGTTTTCTCACACAAGAGAAAGCGACACCTGAATCTCAGCAAGTTCTGCAGATGGTGTTGGTAAGACTAAGTTACACCTGTGTGTGGTGTAGTGACATCATCAATGTACTGTGCAAGGAAAATTCCTCAAGCTTGACATCAGTTTGCACACCTGCTAGAAGAAATTCCAACCTTTCCTCTCATTAATTCCAACAATTATAGGGGGGATTGAGGCTATTCAAAGCCAAAACAAAACTACTACTGTCACAGGAGAACCAGCCTGAGACACTGAGAGTCCCAACTGAACTGTACAGTGCTTGGTGCTTCTGCATTGCTGCAAACACAAGTTTCTACATTTTTCCCCTTTCTGGCAAACTCCTATTTTAGAGACTAATAAAATCATACCATAAACAGACCTAATTAACTCAGAGTTTTTCATTTCAGCCACAAAAACTGGGAGAATTACTTACTTGGGTCTCGACTGCTGTACGGCCATCCTGAGGCAGGTAAAAACGATGGCACTGGAGAATTTGCCCTGCTGTCATCCTCCACTTGCTGCGTGATGTGCCTGACAGTTTCTTTGTTTTTCCTGTTCTTCCTGCGCCCCGTGGGCTGCCAGCCATCCCCCACTCCTTGCTCCGAGAACGCACTCTGTATTGCACTATCCTTGGCAGAATGGAGCTCACCCCCTCCATAATGTGACGGTGAGACCTGTTCCTCTTTGATCCGTAAAGACCCATAGCCCATGTCACCAGCCCAAAGAGACTGGGATGAAATGTCTTCTTGGCTGTCCGTTTTTGGTTCTTGATCCTCTTTTCCATAACTACTCCCTCCCTCGTGGCAGCTGGCAATAGCGGAGTCTCCAGAAGAGTTTGCTGGGCTCGTTCTCCGAGCCAACCAGGGAGATATACTCCTGCCAGCCACCACTGCCGAGATCAAAGCATCCGTGCTGCTGCTGGAAGGGGCTCCCAGTTCATAATCCACAAGATCCTCCGAGGCATCTGACTTTATGCTTATGTCAAGAGCTGCTTTGATGAAGTTGTGACAGGCTTGCACAATATCTGTCATCTGCAGGTAGCTGGCAGCTGACATCACCTCGATGACATTCCGGCTGGTCAGTGCCAGGTGTGCGGAATACATGAAGTCAATGATTGCCTTAAAGCCTTGTGCGGTGACGATGTCCAAGTGAGTGACTGTGGCCTGGTCAGAGGTTTTCTGTACCTGGCAGTAGAGAGTTTTGAAGTAGCGACTACTCCCAAGGAGAACATTTTTGTGAGCCTTAAAGATCTTGCCCTCCACGATGATGCAGACGTCGCAGAGGATCCCGTGCTGCCGCTGCTCGTTCAGCTCCCGCAGCAGATGACGGTAGTGGGAAGCAATCTCCATATCTTCCTTTCGGTTATTCATTTGGAAATCTTTATGTTTCCTCTTCCACAAGTCCTGCATGGGGAAGGAAATGACAGGATTACAAAATCCAAGACAAGCTCCAAGATGTGTTTTCCAAAGACTGAGACAAACCCTGAGTTGTACCAGATTAAGCAACAGGTTCATCTGGAAAGAATGCCACAAATACAACTACTGCCTGCAACTGCACATTCATCACACACTACAGCTTACTCTTACCAGACTTCAAATGATTCGTTCAAAAGGATCAGATTTGAAGCCCATCCTCCAACTGCTCATAACATCCCAGAGAAACACTTCTCTAAATTGTTAGACTCCTAACAAAACCCATCTGAAGTTACCAGGGCACAACAGCTGTCACCTTTTACTGGGAGTTTGGTGGAGTTTGGTTTTGAAAGAGACACTGCACTTGAAACCACACTGATGGAGACAGACTGCTGAAGAGCACTCTAACATAATTTCCTCGAGGGAACACACGGGGTGTGTAGCACACTGAATAGCTGAAATCCTCAAACAGCAACAGCCAACTGAATCCAACATTTCCCTGCTTATACTCCCGAGGAGGGGCTACAAACATGGTTTGTAAGTCAGAAGAGCCACAGGCAAAGCCAAGACCACAGAACACACAATTTTAAGTCTCTACCCAAGCTAAACTGACAATAGATCACAACTATGAAATTACTGTTACTTGAAGCTTAATGACTTATAAGCACAAGAGTTTTACCTCTGCAATAAACTTGTCACTTCATTGGTTTTATATCTCCAACTTTGCCCCACAGCCACACTCAGATATTGGGTAGAGAAATTCCCATGATCACCTAAAGGAAGGATGCTTATGACCAACATAACAAAGCTGATTCACAGGACGTTTGCTCACCTTTTCATAAAATTTGACAGTACTACTCAAAAAAAGGCTAGTTAGTCCCAGCAGCAGAGACATGTATCTTGTAAATTAAGCTCCAAATCATCCTCCTCTTACACTCCAAAACAGAAAACAAGGTCCGAAAAGTGGCTATGTTGGTAATAAGTAGCAACATTAGGATTTTCAGATTAAATTTATTCAGCTATTACCTTTGCAACTCCGTACCTGCTTTGCTGCCACAGCTTTACAAATTCCTTGGCATTCAATTCTGACTTTTTCTCTAGCTTATACCACTTATTAGGAACTTCCTGTCAAGATTTATTTACCATGTAACAATGGTCAGTGGTCCAACTAAGAGCACCAAGCTGCCACACAAGGTGTAAGATCTCACTCCTTTCTCCAAGGAACTTTAATTTGTTCCAATATAAGAAGCTCCAACTGTAGAATTGACATGAGGGTCCACATGTCAACATCTAGCTGTAAAACTGGACTCAGTTCCAAATGTTATTAGGGGCAGGTACACACATCAGAAGCTTTCATTTGGGCTACTGGTTGTTACTTACAAAACCAAAACCACTGAGGTCTTAGTCCTGAAGTGCACATGGCTCAATCCAAGCACTGACAGTCAGGAGGGTAATGTGAGCCTGGAGCATTGAGTTCATACACAAATTCAGTCCCATCTGCTCAAACCAGCTTACAGCAGTGGGCAGTCCTAGGACAGACGTGATTAACTCTCCCGACACATGCAAGTGTGTTTCCTGTCGTGTGGAATACAATCTGTATGGATCCATCAGCCCTCTGCCACCTTCCCCTAGTCTGTGCTATTATTATCAGCAGCAGGAGCGAAATAGCTGCAGTTTAGTCAACACTGTTGGCTAGAAAAGCACCTCCCAGCCCACAGAACATACGTGAGATGGGACATTCTTCTAGAGAGGCACCTGATGATTCAAAAGTTCAAGTTATGCAAGAGTGCTTCCAGCTCCTCCAGTTCCACAGGGATGGAGCTGCCTCTCTGCAGCGTCGGAAATGCTAATTTGCAAGACCAGCTGGTCCCTGATCATTGGGAAGTGTTTGCTTCCCTCCAGAGAGGAAGGACCATGTTCCTGCAACACAAACAGGCTGAACTGGTGCTCAGCCACTCCAAAGCTGTGCAGCTTTTCTGCAGAATTAAGCACAGAAGGCAGAGAAGCCAAGCTCTGTTTATCTGAAGTGGAAGAGGTCAGCAGCAGTGTGGTTGTGCACTGAACGACAAACCTATTTACCACTGAAATCTGCCCAGAGACCTCAAACCAAACCCTCACACAGACACCCTCTCCATCTCAAATTAATGAAATAAATCGATGAAAATCAAACCAAGAGACAGAGCCAGGGAGTATGGTGGAAAAAAAAATAATTGATTTTTCAGGTGTTTGGCCTGAAAAGGTTGTGATGGCACCAGCCAGCACAGCAGCTCTCAGCCAGGCTCTGGGGGTGGCTGCCACTGCTTCCCAACGGTTCCGTGTGGGAGAGAACCACCTCTTAAGGCAGAATGACAGTTCAGTTTTGTCTTTATTCCAGAAACCACTACTGCATCTACTTTTAGGAGTTGAAGAGTCAGCTTAGTCCCCTCAGGAAATACGAATTGCCACACAGGATAAAGGGAGTTGTCCATCAACAAGTCCTGTCTCCAACAGATGCCATATCCACATGATTCAGAGGAAGACACAAGAAAACCTCACAGCATACAATTAGGAAGCAATCAGAAGGGTTTGGATATAGCATTATCCTTTACTCTTCTTTCACAGGTATCACAATCCATATTCTAAGAACACCAACTCACTGGAACTATGAGTGTGTGTGGGAAATCTCCTGCAAGGATAATTTTCTCTTCCTCAATTTCATACAGATTAGCATCAGGAGTGTTTGTCAATGTCTCCACCTGCTCTTGTGAATTTATGCAACAACAGCATTTCTTCTTCAATCATCTTCACTTGAAAATGATATCAATCCCTTGAGATTTTTTCCTTTGCTATTTCATACATTTATTCAGCTCAGCAGGTTGGGTTCCCTCTCCCTGTTGAGCACTCTGCTTCAGATACACTTTGTCCTTTTCCAAGCTGCCTATGGCAGAAACACAGATTTTAAAATATCTGTCTCTCACTACCTTTGGTTTAGACTGGACCAGTGTGAGGTTCAGGCATTGACTCATCTGCTGCTTCTGACGAACAAAGCACTTGTTCATCTCTTCAAGAAATAGGAAGTCAGTCAGAGACAAGATATCAGGGAATTTTTACTAAACACACACACATCTAAGCAAGATTCCCTCCTGGCCAGGAAGGTGAGCACATTATAGCACCTTCAAGTAAGCAAGGAATGATGTGGATACTCCTGTATTTGGTATAATCAATAGAATTTAACATTTTCCCAATCAGGAGTTATTATTATAGATGTCTTGATCCTCCTTTGTGGGAAGGTCTGAAACCTTACACATGTCACTCCACATTCAACATCTGTCACAGCATTGTACCTCTTACAGGAGAGGTCTTTGGGGGAGAAAATTAAATATGCCTCAAATTCAGAGGAATTAATTAGTTTTCTGTCTACCCATGTCAAACCAGAACATCCGTTTAATGTCAAAGATCACTAGGGAATTATTCCAAGTTAAATTTAAGGCAATTTGCTAGTAGTTAAAAATTCAGGAAGCTTTAAAATCCTGTGCTCTTGTGTTCCAATTTTACATGCTGTTTTGTGGCTTGCTCCTGGTTTGGATATTTTTTTCCCTTTTGCTTGTAAGGGTATTTATCTCCACTTAAAAAGATTTCTTCAGACAAGCAGTACTTCTAGTGGAAGCACAGTGAAGGTGGAAGAAGCTGTGGAGATTTCTTAGGAACAGACTTCAAAGATCAATGATCTATTTTTTGTTTTATTTCAGGTCTTTTTCGTACAGTGAAGGATTGCAAAGTTGAGCATCTACTAGGATTCTTTAGGCTGGTCTTGCCATGGCAGCACATGGCCACAACACAACTTTCCAAGAAGCCAACAAACCATGAAAGTTCATCTGAAGATTTCCCACAAAATAAATTGCAGCAGATCAGTCTTTCTTCATAAGTCAATTCACAGACAGCACAGCAATTCAAATCTATTACTTCTCCAAAAATAACTACAAGAATTGTCCCTAAACAAACCCTTGCATGTAACAACAAAAAGAGCACAATGTGAGCAGACTGAATAGTCACTTTCATGCAGACTCCTGTCAAGACACAGGTCTGCTTTTTATTTTTCACATCAAATAAACTGGTCTTAAAGTAAGCAATAATAATTCATATCATCTTTAACCCTAGCTACAACAAACCTAGTTCTACAAATTGAGCATCCATGAAAGAGGTTTATTTTGCACTACCAGTACAGTATTTAGAGATAAAAATATCACCTGATGACACAGTAAGAATCTAAAGAGACAGAAACTTCACTTCTTGTTGGAAAGGTTTTAAGAAGAGTAACCAGCAGTACTTAAACTTCCCAGCATATGCACCCAGAATTAGTTTCCTGACCAAAATCTTAACACCAGTAAAACTAAGGACTATGAATTTGATGCATCTAAAACTCATAGCAATACTTGAATTTTGACACAAAGTCACAAACAAGAAATGAAGTACACACAAAATATCCTCTCCAGAGCAGTCCCCTGGGAGAGAGTGGGGACAAAAATAAACTTCCTCCACTCAGAAAGAAAACAGGGAGAAAAAAAAAAAGGCCTGGAGGGGTTTTTGAGGGGTTTTGCTGTTGTTAGGAATTGTTCATTTGTTTGTTTCCTCTCTCAGAATATTAAGTGAACTGAAGATTTAAACTACATGACACTTTGTCTCTTACAATTTTCTAAACATGTTTCTACACTTAATACCAAGGACCCAAGTTACAGAATAGCAAAATACTCACTAGTGCACTCCTCCACCACTTGGCTCCCTAGAGAAAACATGCCAACTGGAATTTAACCAAAAATGTGTTGTTGCCTCCCCCTCTCCCTTCAGAGAAAAGTAAAAACAGATTAAGGAAGAACTCAAAATCACTCCAGTGGTTTATTATGCAAAAAACCAACAAACACACCCCACTTTTCTGCTTCCCCTGTGTCCTGTCCATGTCTCCACTCCCAAGACATTCCAACATTTTTTAAATTCCTCTGCAAAGGAGCTCTGTAAGGTGAGATTGGGCTTGAACTGCCTCCTTGTATACACACTGTGTCTTGTTGTGCAAGTTGCACTTTTATCCAATTAAAGACAACAGAAATGCACAGGATTCCTCCTCTCCATGTGCCTGTGCTGAAAAGAATGGAGAACAAAACCCCTCAACGTAACCTTAGCAACTGGAAAGGACAGTACCTACACTTCCTCTGCTAAATGAGAGGAAAGGAAGAGTCAGGATATTCATGGATGATAACTGCCTGCAGAGACACAGCTCACAAGTGCAGTGTTTTCTCCCAAGTGTTTGAGGAAGAACAGAACACAATTCTAAAAGAGTTTTAGTTTCTTGATACTAGATAACCCCAAATTAGATGTTCAGCTTTGTTCAAAATAGATGTAAGTAACAGCTTATGAAAATGAACAGTTGCCAAAAAAGAAGCTCTTGTACCCCATTCTGATGCCCCAAACCAATCATCTGCTGTTTAAGTTGGTCATTCCAACCACAACCCTGAATTCAAAGAGAAACAGGCAGATGTTTGTAAACAGACCAAACCAGACCCTTGGGCCAGAGAGGTTACTCACAACTCAGGGTTTCATGCAAACAACAGTGACCACTTTTCCCTGATGACCAGGGCTGAGAATGGTTAATTACAGCCCAACAGTGCACGTTCAGCCTTATGGGTTAGGAGTCACAGGAAGAAAATAAAAGTTTCATCATTCAGTTTGAGAAATACTACAGAAGTGCAGAAAGGGCAAGAATTTGGGAGGCAAATTTCAGTAACCTTAAAGAGAACTACTAATTCTACTTTTATTATCAGCTTTGACAAGCCCACTCAATTCTCAATGACTGTAGGGCAAAGAGAACCCCAAGCCCCTACATATGTTTAACATCAGCCTGAGGAGGAGTCACTGAAATCCTTCCAACTCCAAGCCACTGCTACTCATCATCAACAGCACGAAAACAACATCTCTGTTTAGAATCTCTGCAGTAGATACAATCCAGAAAGTCCATGAGTGAAGTTCACACAGCAGGGCAGAACACTCCACACTTCTAGTCATTCCCCATGTCATTAAAACTTTATTTTGTTACTCAAAAAACTTTAAACCAGTGACTTGGCTGTGGCCTTTGCCCTGTCAAACCACCCCCCTGAAGGTAGAGAGCCAGTTCAGGGGAGAGGTTTGGTACCACACAAATGCAACCAAAACATGGGATTTCTCAAGATACCCTAGAAAAATCCGTTTATGGACCCTCATTAGCTCTGACAGCACACGAAGAAAACCAGGACAAAGTGAAAGCTAAGGGAAAACTGTTAGCCTTCATATTCTGAAAGGAGGGTAAGTAGAAATTTAGAAACTGCAAAGCTATAAATATTAGGAAAAATAAAAAAACCTCAAAAAAAAAAAAAGAGCAGATATGCACATTTTGCTATAGTGTTCTTAAAAGTAATAAGCAGCAAAGTGATTTTTACTGATTTTTGTTAGAGAAAACATGCAAACTGCACTACTGAATAAATAAATAAATAAATAAATTCCAAGACAATTACTTCTTACCAGTAACAAACTGGGTTCCAGGTCTACTGTTTCTCCTACAACAGCTGAGGACATCAACAGCCCCAGGGCAGCACAGGTAGTGCACAGTTCTGTGACCTTCTGACAGCACTGCTGGGAACTCTTGTAGGAGAAAGACACAACTCTGACAAAAACCAAAACCAGAAGAAGTTATTAGCATTAGACTACGAGATTACTGTACAGCAGTGGAATTCTGTCTCCATAAACTCAGTTATAACATCTCTATCGATGACTTAACAAACCCCCAGAAAGTTAATTCCAAGCATATCAATACATTGCAGGTAATTACAGTCTGTTACCTTCTTGGAATACTGTAAGCAAGAGTTACTCAAAGGTATGGGAAAAGAAAGTCTAATTTTAGACACTAAAACTTCAAACAGATCCTTGAACAACAGAGTTTCCTGTTTGGGAGCTTTTCAAAACATTCTCACTCTAATGACTCTATAAAGAGACATTAGTGGCCCACAGGGCACTAACTCACCTTATCTGACCTATAAAATACTGAGGTTAAAAAGCTCCCAATGCAGCTCCTGAAAAAATGACTGCAATGGAATACTCAGGAGAATTTCCCCTTGATATGTTTAGCTGCCAGTTTGTACTGGCTGCCACCAACTCAGGGTTAAGAGACCAAGAAACCCCAAGATTTTTACAACTCTCTAAAATAGAGCTACTTGGGTATAGTGAGGCACATTCACAGAGACTTCTCAGCTAAAACCTGAGTGGTTTTTGGGTACAAGGCACGAGGAGTAGGAACAGCTCATCCACACCAAGGCTTCTGTCTGTCAGGACACAACCACCAGAACTATTGTCTTGTACATGTTTTGCCTGTACAAACCAGACTTTGTTTTCTTCAGAATAGCACATACACTGCACTGGCAACATTTAACTTCCAACTAAAACTTCTTTATTCAAACCTTTACATGGTTAGCCATGACAAAGTCTTTTTTGAGCTCTGCATTTCAGACATCTTCAATACACAGATTAGCTCACTTAATGAAAATAAGCTATAAATCAATACTGGTGATTTCAAGACTGACCTTCTGTAGTAACAGATTGTGAAAGAAAACATCAGAAGATAAAAACGAAGAAAGCTTTTCCAAAACAAACTAATATCATTACAGAAGGTGAAATAAAATATCTAATAAACAAATGAAGCAATAAGGAAAATCCAAGAATTCTTATGGCAACAAGCAGAACTGAAAATCTTGAAAACAAATATGACCCAATTGAAGCAAATACCAGTGACTTTGTTCTCAGTTTCTGTTTCAGATGGCCAAGTCTTGCCTTTCTCTAATTCTGATTGCTTCTCCACAGCATTTGTTTTGGAAAGCTCTTTTCAGTCCTGTTATTTAGACAGTTAAGAAAAAATAAAGCTGGGGAGTGAGGGAGCCAGACCAACCCAGACACATGGGAAATCACTTTGTTAGCAAAGTGTAAAAGGAATATGTGTTTTCACTTCGACTTAGAGCTGTTACTGTTAAAACTCTCATTTACACCTCTGTCCCAGAGCACAGAGAGAGCCAGAAGAGTCTGGTAAGAATAGCAAAGCTGAGCCCTACACTATTTTGCACTGCTCTGCATTTTTTCTTCTTGCTTTGAGCTCTGCACCTGTTTTCCTCTTGTGATCAAACAGATGAGAACCGAGTGACTGTGATTAATGGAGGCACCTGGGCCATGGGGAAGGAGCAGAAGAATAGCCACAGGTATTGCTTCAACTTTTGCATTTGGCTAGGATTTCTAAATGAGCCCTTGCTAGCAAAGTTAAATCAAGTTTCATAAAGAACTGTCAGCCCTCATGACAATGTTATCTCCAGCTCCTCTTTCTCTTTCCCATTCCACATGACAAAAGGATCTTTAAATGCTGAGAACTTACCGATACTTGAAAGTGTTTCCTGTTAGCCAAAATAAATGTGGTGATATTTCACAGCTGGATGGTGCATGTTTCAATGAACAGAGGAGAATGGTCTCTGGTAACAAGCTCCAAAAGGTGCATCAGATGTCCTGCATTTGGGGATGGAAAGAATAGGAGGTAAAAATTAAAACCCAAACTTAACTTAGTACAAAGCCCTTCAGTGTCACATCATTACAAGCAACAGTTAAAATCACTGCACGTTGACAACACTATTCACCATTTCAACAAGAAAAATATTATTTATTTGTGTTAACTTAAATAAAAGTTTAACATACCAATTTTAAGACCATTAACCACCTCTGACTATGCTTGCAGACAGAAGAGCTTCGAATAGGTCACTCTAAAAACCAGTACTTTATATAAGGATTTCAAACAGTTGACATCAAGGTTCCAGTTGATGTTTCTGTGGCACCTGCCAGCCACACACTTTAAATGGGGTTAACATTCACCTCACCTCACAGTCACAATCATTCCCCTCCAAACCAAAATATTTGCCTAAGGGTACAGAAAAATGATTTGCCCACCTTACACAAAAGATATTTGAGTTCTATTCCCACCCAGCTCAACTGAGCTACAGCCTTCAAAAGCCAGGGCGACCCTCAAGTTACTGAGCAGCACCAAGGAAAGCAATTTGCTCCTCTTGCAAACACTTGAAAACTTTGAAAAGAAAAAAACACACAGCCAGAAATACGCAAATGCCTAACAGAGTGTAACAGTTTGATTTTCCATGCCTGGAAAAGCTATGCAGCCTGAAATTCAATATTCCAATGGGTAACAAGTTGCTAATAGGACAGGATGCACCTTCCCCACCACACACAGGTGTATCACTGCTTGTCTGCAGGAAAATTCCACTGCACTTGGCATTTCCTCTGCATTTCCCTGATTCGTTTCCCGTAACTTCCAACTCTGCCCATGTGCCTGTCTCTCCCTCCTCTCTCCATCATGGTACAGTAACAGTTGCTCATATCATTCTCTTATTTTTGATCTCTCTTCTCTCATCTGGTTGCACCAAGAGAAGGAAAGATCCAACACTGCCCACACCACAGACTGCAGAACAGAGCAGGAACACAGCAGAGCTATCCAGGGCTTAAAAAGCAAATGCCTTACAGGGAACCAGACTTGAGAAATCTGGTGATGTAACAAAACCACAATAATTTAGCTACAAATATACCTGCTACTCTAGCAACGAAGACTAAAAAACCTGAAAAAATCCAAATCCCTGTGGCCAGTATGACACTTACCTGTCCAAGTGCCATTAACTCCTACAAGATCTTAGGCTTCTACTTTCAAAAGTCACAAAAGAAACCTAAGCACAGACACTGCCCCTGTGTGACTATCAGTCAAAAAAACATTACAAGGACCTTTAAAAAAAAAGAGGATTAGAGAACTGCAAGCATGTCACACTGGGAATTGCCCTGAAGAATGGTTTCCCCCAAACTTTCTCACTGGTTTTTAGTTTTTTCATTAGGGGATCTTTGCCAAAGTTCCCAAACTCAGTACGTAAAAAGGGAGGGAGCCAAAGAAGGAAGAACCATGAGGTGATTTTTAAAGAGAAGTAAAGCAGTGGGAGGAACTGAGAAAAAGATCACCTAAAAGACAGAAAAGACACATAAGTCAGGAACAATCTAAGAGTCAAAAAATCAACCAGTGCAAAACCAAAAGATAACATATGAAGTGTTCTGTGAACAACCTAATTCTGTTTGTGTAATTCCTGGTACAAGCCCTCAGTGCCTTGGGTAAGGTTCCTGGTTTGCTTTTTAGCACAAATCTCATAATCCAGATTTGATCAACTACTATAAAAAAAATGCAAGTGGAGTGAAGCCAAGAAGGACACAGTGGTAACAAGAAGGAAGTCCAAAACTCGTTTTATATTTAGCCACCACCTCACTCTCCAACACTATAGTGGCAGGACTGTTTGGAGCAACTGCGTCCTGACTGTTTCGTTTATCAGTACTTAAATTAGTTGGGTTTGGGTATTTTAAGCACCTAATGGCCAATACAGACCACTGATTCTTCTGTTTCAGGGCATGATGTGAGCACTAGTCAGGGAGGTATCTCCTCTGATTTGCAGAGTTGGTGCAAAAGGTGCAAATTTTGGTTAACCCTTTCCTCAATGGGAGCCAAGCCAACTGCCTGAATATCAACTTTCTGCAGCGCTCTTCTCCAGGAGGTGAGAAATACCAGGAAGCAAACTCACTTGGATGGAATAAGCAGTTTGTTCAACACATGATGAGGAAATAATTAGGAAAGATAGCTGGGTATTCCAGTGTACAGAGGTATAAACATAATCCTTAATATGCAAAACCCTACTCACTTTTCTAAGTCGGGTTCTTAGGCACGAAAGGTCCTGGCACACACCAACCTTCTCGTTACCAAGTGTATTTAATCCACACACAAGCTCATAGCTGTGTTTGTAGAGTATTTCTGACACCTCAGTGCCTCCCTCCATCAAAGAAGACCCCAACTCTGTTCTACTATAAAGCAAATAAAGGGCAACTCCCAACATTTGCAGGATGTTTTCCTTCCCAAGCACACACACGAGCCAAGTGAGCTGTAACAGGATAGGATCACCACTGTATGGGCTGGAATACAAGTCAGCCACATCCACAAAAAGCAAGGCAAAAAGGTGAGTCTGAGCTTTAATTTGGCATCTACCTGTTACAGTTCAGCAATGTCACCTCTCCTCCACAGCCACACACGGACATCCTTACCTACGTGCAACAGAACACTGCCAAGTGGGACACATTTCCATGTCATTAGAATGGCTGTCAAGGATCTCACCCTGCCTGCTTGGCACTCGGAAGCTATTCCAAACCAACATCTCAGCAGCAGTCTGACGTTTGTTAAATATATGGGTATGCAAGAAAGTTAAAGCGACTGTTCAGAAAATAACTGCACCACAGCTAACTTGGTATGGGACAGCAAACCCCACCCATGAGCCTCTAACTCCACCACATCCCGGAGGGAATTCAGTAAGGACTTCACACTGCTTTGCCTTTATGAAGAAGAAGCATTTCTAGCACAGTTAGGATTTTTCATCAGTATAGCAGAAAATGTTTTGGGAGAGCTGAGTAAACCCCAGCACCTCTGCCTGACCGAAGGGGAGACTGGTGACAAGCAGTTA